TTTGTGGTCTGTTACTCCTTTCTGGAACTGTGCATTATTGAGATGTTGATGCAAAATATGGGCCGTCTGTCTCACTGACGAAAAATTATGTGAGCATAAATTCAGCTATTCGTTTTCTTCACCGGCGCCAGTGCTCAACTACCACTGGCACTGTGTTGGTTTGAGCTCACTGCTTACTCCCGTGTGCCCGTCTTGATGACGTTATGATGCTGTTTCAGGATTCCGATTCTGCACTGGACAGCAGTGATCAGCGCCACACTACGGTGTCGTCTTTTGCTGAGCTAGGTCTGAATGCCGATATCGTGGCCAACCTACAAAAGATGGACATTGTAACACCGACGGAAATCCAGGTACGCTTCTTGGACGCTGTAGGACGGTCCAAGTGTTGCTTTGCCTGTTGCCACATTATTAGCGATAATTTCGTCGTGCGAAGGAATGAAAGAAAGCCGATACTCTCGTTCTGCTGTGCAAAGGCAAAAACTATTATGTCGGGTCAGAGGCCATTCCTTCCTCTGGTCAACCGAACATAATGGGTTTTGCCTTTATACGGCAGCATTGCACTCCGATCGAACTTTGGCATTACTTTGACCGTACTATGACCGTATCAGCGAACTTTATCGATGCGAACTTTATCGTATGTAAGTCCTAACTCTGTCGTTTTTCTAACCACACACTCACCAGTAACCAGTGACCATATTGTACCTTGTAACCGTCCTATTCCATCCTCTGACTATCGTTCTCTCTCTCCCCGCAGCGCCGCGCCATCCCCCGCCTGCTGTCCGGCTCCGACACCCTGGTGGCTGCGGAGACGGGCTGCGGTAAGACGGTGGCAGCCGCGGCGCCGATGCTGCACAGGCTGCTGGCGGAGACGCCTCCCTCCGCGAGCGGACCGCGCGAGGACACCAACCGACCGCGGGCGCTCATAGTGACGCCCGGTAGAGAACTGGCAGTGCAGATCAGGGTAGGTGGGGATCGAGAGGGTGCTCGGATTTCATGGAGATGGTTCATGATAGCTCATAGAGCGTATAGTGGGATATTGTTCATGGGTCATATAACGTATGGGGTGATTACAGGGAGACTACACCTGGGTGGGACTACCTATTTGAATAAATTTCTTATGTAAAATACAGATAGGTGCTTACGTCTTGCTTTGTCCGATTGTTATGCTTATATTGTCCAACAAGTCAGCTAGCCTCACCGGCCTCGCCCAGCTGCAGCACTCAGGTTCTGCCGATGTATGACTTCTGAAACAGATGCCCTCTACTGTCATCCTGTTTCGGATGCTGTATCTAACCGTTACGTTTTCTGTTGACTGTTTGGCGCGGATGTCCCTCACTGACTGTCCACACGTATTCCCTTCTTCCAGGACGTGCTGTTGGCCATGACGGCCGACCTGCCGCTCCACGTCAGGATGCTGCTCGGCGGCCGGACCAAGCGGAAGATGGAGCGACCCACGGTGCTGCCCATGGACGTGCTGGTTGCCTCGTTCGGGGCCCTCAGCAAACTGCACAGCGTCGGTACGTTGGGCGTGCGCGCGTGGCAACGCCGCGGCCGCTGTGACACGTCGTCCACAACTGAAGTATCCTATTTGTACTCAGTTCAATGCAGTTTTCCTCGAGTTGTTACTTGGCCACTCCAGTTTAAATATTACGTGACGTGATATTAAATATTACGTGTAATATCTAATATTACGTTCCCACGTAATATTAAATATTACGTGGGAAATTGTCTCGATTTCGGCAGCTCTTATCGTTGATATTGTGATATTGGTCTCACTGATCCGTGCCTATCTTATATCGTGAACCTGCCTCAGTTATCGTTTCCTGGCTGTTGTGAATCACTTGTCTGTCCCGTTGTTATAACGCATTATCCCCTGCCATCGTCCCCGGTTAATTATGGTCCGTTCGGTCCGTGCCTGGCAGGTATCCTGGACCTCTCCCGGGTCTCCCAGGTCATCCTGGACGAGGCTGACACCCTCCTGGACGACTCGTTCCGAGAGGACGTCCGTCGCCTGCTCTCCCGTTTGCCTCTGTCTGCTCTGTCTGGGGATCTGCAGCGGCCGGGGGATGGCGGCGGTCCGGCCACGGCACTCACACTACTGGCGGCCACTCTGCCCCGTAACCTGGACTCGCTGCTGGAGGGACTGGTGACGGTGGGTGGACGATGGATGTGTGTCCGGTGGAGGGTAGCGCTTGGGAATGGTGGGGTGAGTGTGACTGTGTTCGGTTATGAACGGCCGGCTATGGTTAGATCGATTGCTGATCGATTGCTGATTAGATCGATCGATTGCTTCGATTATTTTGTAATCAGCTAGGATGACGAGTGACAACGTAGGTAGCTCAGTTTTCTTTTGTGTTTAATTTTTATCATCAATATCGGCTTTTTCCTAAATATTGATACCACAACTGAGGCATTTCCCCTACAGTTGTCTACGCGTCGTCAAAAAACAACAACCAATTGTCTGACTCCCCCGCCCCCCCCCCCCCGCAGGGTCAGGTGAGCCGGGTGACGTCCGCGCGGCTCCACCACCTCCTGCCGCACGTGCAGCAGAGTTTCCTGCGACTGGGCCCGGCGCAGCGGGCCGACGCGCTGGTGCGACTCTGTCGAGAGGCGACGGAGAGACGCGAGCCCGTCATCGTGTTCAGGTGAGCAGTTGGGCTCGAATGGTGGCACGCTGAGGTTTGGTTCAGAAACCGTAACTTGTGGTGGATAAGAGAAGAATAGATCTTATTTTGGCAATATGACTTATGTTTTAGATGAGAAACCTACAGCCATGACGGTCCAATTGCGTTGATCTACCAGGATCTGAGTACGGCAGCTGTCGTCTAGCTAAAGCCTGAAAGACTCTTTCCGCAGTAAGGAAATTGTATGCGAGACCCTATTCAAATACATGGAAGCACGCTCGCTCAATCGCACGGACCTCCCGCATGCGATTTCCTGAATGCGGAAAGAGTCTGTTTCAGATGTTCCGGGTGTTCTCCCGGGTGTTCATGAGCTCAAAAAAAAACTTAATAATCTGTACCTTGAACCTCGAATGTTAATCTGTAGCTGGCCTACTGCTACACGATTTATGACGCTCACTAACGCCTACCCCTCCCGGCCCCCCAGCAACAACGCTCCGACGTGCGACTGGGTGAGTCTGCACCTGAACGAGAGTGGCGTGGACTGTCTGAACGTCAGCGGCCGGCTGCACTACAAGCTGCGCCAGGGCCGGTGGGCGGCGTTCCTGGCCGGGGAGCCGGCCGTGCTGTCCTGCACGGACCTGGTCAGTCGCGGACTGGACAGCTGCCGGGTGAGTGGGCGGGGAGAGTGTTAGGGGAGTGCGTAATATGATAGAGATGCTGCATGGCTATTGGATAGGGTCGAATAGCTCACTTCCCGAGTAGGAAGCACTAGGATACACATTACACTCCAAACTTCTGGGAGGCTCGAGCGTCGCCGTGGCGTTATACGTATAAAAGCTTGAAGCCAAGACGTTAGCCGATTTTGAATACATTGCCATCACTGCTCGGTGATTTCGTGTTACGAGTTTTCCTCTTTAGCTACTAAATATATTTTATTTGACCCCAATAAACCGTCGCTGACTGCTGACAGTGTGAACCTTGACTGACTCGTCGTCCGCTATCCCCGTCAGGTGGAGCACGTCATCAACTTTGACTTTCCGTGGAATACGTCCGACTACATCCACCGGGCGGGCCGCGTGGGCCGCGCGGGCAGCGAGCGGGCCGGCACCGTCACCAGCTTCGTCAGCCGACCGCTCGACGTCGCCATCGCGCAGCGGATCGAGGTGCGGGAACACTGTGGTGCTCTTATGAGACTTCCCCCACCAAAATGTTAACTTTCCTCCCACACACTCGCACATGCGTCCGTTCAAGCTCCCCGCTCCACTTGCGATATCGGTTTGATACTAATGTTCGTGTCGGGACTAAATAAATATGTGCTCTTTACTCAAGGATGATGCCTTGTTAATGGTCTTAATTGCCTCATTAAAATGCTCATTGCTGAGTGTTGTGTTCAGGAACCTTTACGTCAGTCACACATTGATGCTTCGCCTTATATTTAGTAGGCTCTCGAGGCGGTGCTAAGTTACCCGCAGCCCGATCTTCCCACTCCACTCTGCGTTTGACACATCTCCCTCCCCTGCCCGCCCGGTTTCATATGTACTGATGTATGTCTCTCCCGGCAGAGGGCGGCGCGCACTGGCGAGCCGCTGTGGAACGTCGACGCCAACATCAAGGACATCATCGCCAAGCGGATGATGCGGAAGGAGGCGACCAGTCAGCAGCAGCGGCGGCGGCGGAGCTGACGGGGCCGAGACCGCTGCCCCGGCCCCGGGGGCAGTCGGGGGGCCTGAATGGTGCTCATTTTGTACGAATTGTTCATTGTTGATGTACAAAAATATAGAGATCATGCTAGTCAGAATTGGAGTATGAGTTGAAAAGTGGAGCTGGGACGTCATAAACGCCATCGGTGCGCCTGGGAAGGAAGCGGGCCGCCGAAGTTCACGATGAGTTCCGTGCGATCGGGACCGATGAGGTCGATTGGCTCTTGAAGGTTCCACCATCGTTCCGCTTCCGGAAGGTGTATTCATTTTCTAGTGTCATTACCGGTGATAGGCCTGTAGCGCTGGCGCTGGCAGCGAGCTTCTAGGCAAGATTCTTCTGGCGGCAGTCGGTTTTTCGTCTTGCGGAATCGAGTTACAAACTAGGGATTTTGAGAAAAGTCGCTAGACTGCCTGCTTCAAGACTGCAAGGGAGACAAGTGACGCCAATGCTCAAGTTAGTACAACTAAACATGATTATTATTTTCAAATGTTACTGGTATATAAATTTAAGAAGATATTATGTTTTGTTCATATTATAGAGTCAGATATAAGTGATAGGTGGCAAAATGGTAAATTTTTATTTGACGTCATTTACCAATGGGAGGTGATGCAGTTTTTTAGAATTTCATGATCCTTGATTGAGGATCACTTTCGGCGTCAGAGACGTGGATAGGTTAGTAGGTAATTTATTGTATTTACTATTTATTCACTTTTTTCTGGTTTGTTGGATACATAAAACATGGGTATCGAAGTAAACACTACCTTCATTTTCTCTGTGAATGTGACATTGCCATGGCTTTAGTTTGACTGATAGATTCAGATTGTCCTTTGATTGATCTGACTTTGATTTTAATTTCAATTTAACTCATTTGGTATATCAAATAATTATAAGTTAAATGAATTTAAGTCACGAATGTGACATAAAACGTGTCATTCACCTGATCGTGTTGTAATACATCGTCATCTTGCTAGTTGCTACCCGATACTGCCAGCTTTTGTCAGTTTCCATGGTAATGAATCGGAATGAGAAACAATTCTGCTTACATTTCTTTGAAACTGAGCATGAATGCCTTCTGCTGCTCAAGTTTTTTTTCTACAGTCAGTGTACTTGCTATGGCAGTGGGTTGGGTTAATTTCTTTAACAGTCGGGGTGGCAGGAATTGCAGGCACATTATTGGTGCAAGGTGCGTTTGCTGTCTGCAGGCGAAGAGCATTGCGTGAATTTTGTTTTGTGCTGCCAATCGAGAGTATCATTAAAGTTTTGATTTTATTGACCTGTTTCTTTGAAGCATCACAGACTGGTTACATGGTACTGATAAGTATTTAAATTTCAAGCTATTGGTATTGCCACTGGTTTGGGTATTTATTGCTATTTTGATGTTCCAGACGGGTAAAGAACTCACTCTTGTCATCTGATGTTCAAGTGGGCAGGACTCACATCTTATCTGCTGTCCAATGCAGGTAAGATTATATGACATTGTGGTAAGCTAACTAGCATTTCTTAACTTTCACCAAAATACCAGTAAGTTTGTCTTATTATGTAGGTACTTTTTTTAATATTTACACACCAATGTTTATTTGGGTGTTGGCAATTGTACAAAGCTTCTTCAGGACCTCAAAGAAAATCCCTGGTAGCATGTATTTTCCTTGCCTTTTTTTTGCATCAATCTGCCAGTACCTATTTAACTGGTTTGTTTGAGTTTGCTTCTGAAGTTAAATGAGCTGTGGCCTGTGAATATGGCAGATGAGTTTCTACTTTCTGTTGTAATATCCTCTGGATTGAACCCCATCTTAGTACTTCATGGAAATTGGAACTAGGTTGTGGCTGTAATAGCTAGACAATAGGTATTCTAATTAGTTTGAATTCCAATATTATAGGTTTGTAGGCCAGACATATCAGTCACTAGGCCAATAAGAGGAAACAAAATTATTAATCTGATGAATAAGTGGTGTAAGATGTGCAATCGAAGTTGTCACAGAATCACTTGTTCAATTGAATCTGACTTTTTACTTTTGACTGTTGATGCCAGCTGTTGTCTGGGAGAAAAAAAAATGTTCCAAATTATTTATCGGCATGTTTTCATCAGATGTTCCAACAGTGAAGGTTCCAATATGACTCCCCCTCCTCTCTGCCACTGTCAGGGCGCCCAGGCTGGTCACGACAAGACGCTGAGTAAGCGGCTGTCGTGGCTGCTGCGGCACGGCGCCGAGCGCGAGGGGCTCCGTCTGCTGCCGGGAGGGTTTCTGCCAGTGCGCGCTGTGCTCGCGCGACCCGCGCTGCGCCAGTACACCGAGTCGGACATCCGTCGGGTGGTGGAGCGGAACGACAAGCAACGGTTCACACTGCGAGAGGACGCCGCCGAGGGTCTGCTGATCCGCGCCAACCAGGGCCACTCTCTGCCGGTGAGAGCCGGCCCGACGGCCCCGGGGAGCCCGCCCTCAGTGCCGCAGTCCGCCCCCCGCCGCAGGAGCCCGCACTCCCATACCGCTGAGGCTGAGCCGCAGTCCGTCCCCCGCTGCTATCGGACCCGCGCCTAGACCGTGCCAGGGGAGGGGCTTTCCTCACTGCTCTGGTGTAAACTAGGGAGTGTTTAGAGTGTTAAACCTCTTTGTGCACCCTCTGTTATTTACACAACGTACTCAGACGCACGGCCAAAATGCTAGACCTCACGTCACTGTCCATGGCGTTGATCGCCCTCGGTTTCACCGTGTACTTGTTATCGGCCGAGTGGTGCCGCCGCCGGCGACACTGGGGTCCGCTGGGGGCCGCCCGGCGCGCGCTAATCGTCACCGCCCACCCGGACGACGAGTGTATGTTCTTCGGGCCGACGGTGGTCGGTCTGCTGCGACAGCCGGGCTGTCTGGTCTACCTGCTCTGCCTGAGCACGGGGGATTACGACGGAAGGGGTAAGGTGCGGAAGGAGGAGCTCTACCGGAGCTGTCAGGTGCTGGGCATTAAACGGGAGAATGTCATCCTCCTGAGGCACTCTCGGCTGCCGGACCACCCGGGCCGCTCGTGGAACGACGCACTCGTCTCGGAGCTGATTCTCCAACACGTGATGAGCCTGGACATCGACACTGTGGTTTCTTTCGACCCCCACGGCGTCAGCTACCACCGCAACCACCGCAGCTGCTTCTACGGGCTGCTGCACCTGCTGCGCGAGGGGCGGCTGCCGACGGAGTGCGCCGTCTACTGCGTGCCCACCGTCAACCTGCTGCGCAAGTTCAGCAGCTTCCTGGACGTGCCGCTGACGCTGCTGACCAGCGAGGTGGTGTCACTGGTCTCGCTGGACGAGTGGTCGCGGATACAGCACGCTATGGGGCAGCACCGCTCGCAGATCGTCTGGTTCCGCGTGCTCTACATGCTGTTCTCGCGGTATGTGTTCATTAATTCGCTGGAGCGGCTCCAAGTGGCGCCGGCTGACCGACGCACCAACTCGGCCGATCTGAAACACACTCCGCTCGAGCGCCGCGGCCGCCGCTCGGCGAGCTCCCCGGACTCTAGTCCCGACCCCGAACCCGATCCCGACCACCCCAGTGTGACGCCCGGCTCCGTGGCAGCGTCCGAGTGGCTTGAGTCCACCGCGGACGGTGTGACGACTGCCGAACTATAGATGTAGCGCGCCGCCGGTGGCGTCACCCAGCAGTAGTGTTCAGTTTGTATCGGTCTGCGAGCGGGCGGTATCTGAACTCGGTGCCTTGCGATGCGTTCTCACGCACGAATGAATGTAGCGCTGTGTATTGCCTGTTGATCACAAAAGATAATGTGTGATGATAATGTATGCAATATGAGCGGTTTGATGTGCATTGTTAATTACGCAATATGCAGCCACTTGCAGACCCACTTGCTCATGCACCACAAAATGCTTATGTGGATCTCGCAGAATATGCTAACCACTCAATCGAATTATTAACCCGCGCCGTGCTGGGGGGGGGGCGTTTTTACGCCCCCCCCCCTCAGGTTTTTCGCGAATATCTCAAAAACGGCGGCGCGCAGCGCCGCCGTTTTTGGTACACGTGTTCCTACATCATTTCCGCACATGTTGTGAAAATTTCAGACCTAGGCCGTTCAAGGTCAGGTCACCAGGTCACGTCAAGTGACCTTACCTCAGAAAAAGTTCAAAGGCTCGCTATAGCTACACCGACTGAACGATCACTTTGAAACTTTCAGCGATTGATATGAGTAACAGTATGTATAAAATGTATATCTCGGATTTTTGATATCTGTGACCTAAGGTCAGGTCAATTTTGCGACCTCTCCATTATAAGTCAATGGGAGAAAATTGAAATGCGCCTCTTTTGGACGAATATCGTTCAAAACGCTCTCAAACATCGGTTCATAGGTAAACATGACACACTGAATAGGAAAAATGCACCTGTGACCCCTCTGTGTGCCCCTGAGGTCATCTCAGGTCATGAACGGTCGCCAGCAGTTTTTTGGCTATAACTTTTGATAGAGACGTGCTAGAGCGGTGAAAACACGTCAGATGTGTTCAGCTCGACGATACGGATCGACTGATATGCAACATGACCCTTTTCGGTCAGGTCATGACCTTGACCTGAGGTCAAATTTTCAAAATGACCTTTCAAGGTCAACCAATAGTTCATTCGACGCGTCTCGACGAGAGGAACACGATGCTGGCAAAAGTAATGTCATGGCGCTTATGAGTCAAAAGTTATTGACGAAAAAACGTTTTTCGTAAAAACGGCTATTTTTGGAGTTTTTGCCCTCTGGAGGCTAAACCGTTGACCTGAGGTCAAATCTGAGAACATTACTCAGAAAGTTCTGTAAAAGGGCTATCGAATGCGCTTTTCCGCGGCGCTGTAGCTCTATCGGTTCCCGAGATAGCCGTTGGCAGTTTTCAAAATGTTGAAATAGTCAACATTTTACCTTTGGTGACCTCTGGTGACCTGACCTTTGACCTGACCCAAAAAATGACCGAAGTGTTTTCGTCCTTATTTTTGACGCTCTTTCGATTGCCGCTTACCGCGTGTCGCTACGTGGCCCAGGAGCCGAGTTAGACGGGGGGGGCGTGAAAACGCCCCCCCCCAGCACTCGGCGGAAAGTTCAGGCCACCAGCACGGCGCGGGTTAATAACCACTGTGTGAAGTAATTGTAATAAACGACTACGACCATGATTTGGCCTGTTATCGTGGGAGATATCCGGAGTACTACCGACCCGGCAATCAGGCTGAGCCCATGACGTCATTTGGGTGACGGGGGGGGGGGGCTCCTGAACACTGAAGACTGCTATGTACAAATCCCGCTGATCGAAAGGAAGCCTAGTCGGCGCCCAAGGACCTCGAGTACGGTGATTCTGAATGTTCTTAACGGGGCAGGATGCGGCAGATAACCAGCAGAGTGCTGGCCCACACAGCGTCTGTCAGTTTAAAGAAAGAACGTAGACGTCGCCTGCAAAGTTCAGTCCATTTCCCGTTAACAATGCTAGCCGATAAAGCACCTGAACGAATGATAAGATGTCGATGAATTAGAAAGTTAACGAGAAGTGAGGGGGTAGGCTGACATGCCTCCATTGGATTGAGTATGTTGTTAGCTGATTGACATTGTTTGCGGTTTGTTTCTCAGGTTTTAGATTTGGAGTTGGAGCCAATCCTGTCTGGTAAAGATTTCCCCACAGTTGTGCATGGCACCTACTTCAAGTGCCTAGATAGCATCAAGCGGCAGGGGCTGAGGTTAGTATCTTCAGTTATAGTTATATGTTTGCCGCCGGTGACCTAGTCGATCGGTTACAGCTCATGAGAATTATCGGGGATTCGAATTATGAATTCATCGTCGCAGCTTCTAACAAAACTCACTTAGGGATCCCCAACATTTGTAAGCTGTCAGTGCTTCAGTTGGTCAACATTCTTAGCATATTTCATGTTAAGTTGGGTACCCCCACCCCCATAGGTTCTGTCTTCTAACAGTATCCCGGCGGGCGTTCCTCCCTCCTCTCCTCCCTATCTAACCCTCTGCCCGTCTGCCCCCAGTCGTATGAGCCGCCAGCATGTCCACCTGGCTTCAGGCGTGTCGGGCAGTCAGGGGGTCATCAGCGGCATGAGATCAAGCTGTCAGCTGCACATCCACGTCGACATTGACAGCGCCATCGCAGGTCAGTTGTATCATCCTGTCGCAGGTCGGTGATGGGCTGAGTCATCACAGGTCGTCTATGCGACATGGTAGGTCAGTTCCGGTCATCGCAGATCAGTTAAAGTGATATCGCAGGACAGTTGCATCGCCATCGCAGGCTAACTGCTACAATATCGTAGGTGGGCGTCATGTCTGATTCAGAGCCCGCTCCAGCAACGGAAACGGATGCCTGCCGTTATGGATGATGCAACTGCTAAGATAGGTAGGTGATAAGTTATTCGGGCATAGCAGGCCAAAAAAATCAGTGTTAGTTGTGTGCTCTGTCGCTAGCTAGTTACTAATTTGGTGTTTGTCTTTTTCAGATGGGATCAAGTTTTTCAAGTCATCCAACGGCGTAATTCTCACTCCGGGCGACGAGCAGGGTTTCCTGAAACCCAAGTACTTCAAGAAGATTGTGGACGCCAAAACAGGTGCGTGTCCGTTCCTTCGGCCCGACTTTAAGTGGCTCGATCATAGTTTGTGCTGTTGTCTGGCTCTCCTCATATGATATTACGGATAATCCCTCTCGAGTCGCAGTCGCATCGGCAGTTTCTGTCAATGTTTCACTTCAGTTCTGTCCATTCGTCGAAGTTCTGAAAGGACGGCCGACACGTCAGAGGCTGTCCTCGCGTTGAGCGAGCAGACCGCTTATCATGTGTATTCACCTTATCGTGCGATCAGTATCACAGGTCCCGATCTGTGCACTAGTTGTGCCGCCGTCCTCCTCTCTTATCGCCTCGTGTTGCCTTTTGCAGGCCGCAGTCTTCAGTAAAGCAGTTGCAGCGGGTTGGGTCCGTATCGGCGGCGTCAGTGGCTTCACGCCGCAACGTGAGTAGATGTTTATCGTGAATGAGTGAGTGATGAGCGAGTGAGTAACCATATCGCGAGTCATAGCCGCCTATCGTGAGTATGAAGTCTATCGAGGAGCAGTTATCAGCTAGTGAAGGGAATGGAATGGTCAGTTTCGTCGTTGCTGCTTGACGCGGTTATGAGAGGTTGTGTTGGGTTGGGAGAGCATTAGGTTAGGCCGACATCCAACATGAAATAATGATGACTGGTCAGCGACCATGCGACCTCCAGCTAACTCGTTTTAGCCTGTGTTATAAGTCTGCGACTGTCGGCCTGAACATTCTCTTTAACCGTGCGTCATGGATAGGCCCAAAATCCTGCTAGTTGGAATCAGCCAGTCTACCGTCTAATGAATCGTTGACTAACTGCTCTGAGGCGTTCGTCTGAACACGGATTACCTACCCATTTTACAAAACTAATGTCGAGAAGATCGTGGCCGTCGTTCTCGATCGTCGTTCAGCTGTTCTGACCGCCCCTTCCCCCCCCCCCCCCCCCAGACGATGGTGGCCGGTGGCGGCAGCAGCGGCCACCCCGTCTGCCACATCTGTAACGTAACAGCGACGTCGTACTGCAGTCTGAAGAGCCACCTGCTGGGAAAGCAGCACCAGAAAAAGGCCCGCACAGCGCCGTTCGCGCAGACCGGAGAGCTCAGCACTTATCTGTCCATTTCTGGTGAGCCAAGTGTGGGCTGGGGCAGTCTCAGGGCCGCCAGTGGACGTGCCCGGTGGCGTTTGTTCTTTATTATAGCATATTTACCAGTACGTTGGGTATCAATAATGAGCGAGACATTCAAAATGCATTGAATCTTCAAAAAATCAATATCGGATTGATTCAACTAGCCGAACTTGGTGTGTCATGCTTAGGACGTGTTTACCCCCACCCCACCCCACCCCCTGTGCTTGTTAGTGATCGTTGTCTTTTGTTTCAGTGAGTGACAAGCTCAGTAAAATTCAACATCAGCAGGTACTTGGAGCGCTGGATGCATTCGGAAACATTGCCGATATTAGATGTACTTTCGATGAAAAGGAAAAATCTAAGTTCAAGAAGGGCTCAATTGTGTACATCCAGTTCCGGGAAAAGTAAGGATACCTTTGAACTGTTGCAATATAAATAATATCGACTGTGGTTTGTTTTCTCTGCGACATGTCATCGCTCATTTTCTTCGTAGAATATTTATTATCTTGACCACGTTGCCCTAATTCTACCTTTACAATGAACAATGAAAATTGAAAAGTTCAGTTCAGTTTGTTCCTTAACCATGCCATTACTGAATACTAGGCGCCGATGACCACATGTACCTTAAATCCGGACGTTACCGAATGCTGACTCGGCCGGCCTCTGAGTGTCGGTGCAGCGCTCTCTTACCATCCCTCCCACTCTCTGCCGAAGGAACCCGGCCGAGGAGGTCCTAGCGCTGTCCGAGGGAAACAAACTGGCCATCGAATCGGCACAAGTCAGAGCAGCGCGGGTCAAATGCACCACCCTGAACAAGAAGCAGCTGAAAAAGCTTGGTGAGCAGCAACCATCCGCCTTGTCGTGCTTTCCTTTCGATACTATGGGTGAGCTCACTCATATCCATCCTTTTAAATCGTATTTCGGTTTCTTGCGTGAATTTATTCAGAACACTCTTCAATCATATTGACTTTCATTTTTCCTTCGTCTTTTTTTCTTCGATTGCTGGGATATTCGGTGCATATTTGTGTTACCCGTAAATCACGTGAGTGCAAGCATGGTGTGTTGTGGAAGCGTGCGGTGCCCTGTGATACGGATTGTGTCCATTGCGTTCCCCGGTGTGCATCTGCTCGATCTCTAGGTATTATACACACTGCATTAACCACCTGTGCTTCTATCTGCTTCCAGCCGCTTCCGCACCGGCCCCCACCAAGGCCAATGGCTCGACAAATGCTCCTACCAAGAATGCCCCCGCTGTCCCCACCAAGAAAGCCACCGACTCCCCCAAGAAAGCCGCCGCCTCCCCCACCAAGAAAGAGGCCGCCTCCCCCACGAAGAAAGAGGCCGCCGCCGCTCCCGTCCAGACCACGCTGGGTGACCTGGACCTCACGGTGACTCTGACCACACTGGCCCACCTGGTGCGGACCCGAACCGAGGACGAGGTGCTGAGCTGGCTGAGCGGGCAGCTGCTGCTGACACCCGCTCAGCACCAGCAGCGGGTCCGCTTCTGTCAGGAGCTGCAGGTCAGAATGCTGGGTACTGCAGGTTCCATGGGTCACAATTGGGGGGGGGGGGGGCAGGTGTCCGTCCCTGCTTGTCAGCGCTAGGGGAGAGTGTGCGTGGTTGCGGTGGGGTGTTCTTGCAGGTCGGAAGAGGATATAAGTCGCTGAGGGTTTGTGAAGCACAATCTGGGCAGGAGACCGACCCCATATGCGATATGCATCCTGTTGAATCTCTTATTTCTGTCTAGTGAAAGACACGGCGACCTCACCTGGCCTCGCACTCTAAATTACCATATGCCTGGCCCTGTCATTTGTGACCTGACCGGATCCGCCTCTGACGCCCCCGTCGTCTCTCCACAGAATGAGCTGCGTGCCCATTTCCGCACGTGCCTCGTGCAGGCGTTCGGCTCGTCCGTCAGCGGGCTCGGCTTCCGCGGCTGCGACCTCGACATCTACGCGTTCATCGACGCACACAGTCACGGCAGCACCCTGCCGCCGGACGCCACCGACAGGCACAAGGTCCGCGCCGTGGGGAAGGTGCTGTTCCGGCTGACGCACCTCTGTACCAGCGTGGTGCGCATCCCAGAGGCGCGCGTGCCCATCGTCAAGTTCCGCTCGCCTCGGCTGGGGGACATCGACTGTGATATGAGCTTCAAGGACCCGATGTCGTGCCAGAACTCGCGTCTGATTGGGTGGCTGATGCAGTGTGGTGAGTGGTTTAGGAACCAGGGATATGATAGGGGAGGGATCGATGGAAAGTAGAAGGGAATGGTGGGAGGTGGAAAAAAGGAAAGAGGATTTTGTGGACTTTTTTATGATTAAACCACTCCGGCTTTGTCTGGGTAATAATGGGAGCCGGCTGCAAATAAGTGTTTCAACGGGCGGGGTTTCATATTTTCAAGAACTAAAAGGAATGATGCGAGATTTTGGGATTTTGTCGCCTGTTGGACGCACATTTATGTGTTATTCTGACAGTGAAACTAGCTGAAATTTTCGTAACGAGGCTTCATCCCCGCGCCGCAGTCTAACACCCCCCCCCCCGTCCCTCAGACCCGCGCGTGCGTCCGCTGACGGTGGCGATCCGGTTCTGGGCCAAGCGGCGGAACCTGGCCGGCGGCGAGCACCACCCGCGTCGCATGTCCAGCTACTGCCTGACACTGCTGGTGGTCACCTTTCTGCAGCAGCTGCGGCCGCCCGTGCTGCCAACCGTCGACTGGTGAGACGCAGAGAGGGCTGGGCTGGGAGGGAGGCGGTACGGGGTCTTTGAGGAATGTATTCAAATGAGGATTTGTTTGGAGCTGAGGGATATAAGTTTGACGTCGATCGTTCGGTGTACTTAGAGCTCTACTCAATTTACTTTCACGCCCCTTCACATTCACACATTTGAACTGGGGCGGTGTGTGGTATTTGCCACGCACTTTGTGGTTCGTTTGTAGCATTGGGGCTAAAGACCCCAATGACCCGCCGCCAATGCTGTTCCACTCTGCACCTGTCCGACCGCGTCTTACAGTGCCCCCCCCCCCCCCCTGTCCCGTCAGGTGTCAGGCGCCCGTGGAGCCGATGCTGATCGGACCGTGGAATGCTGCGTTCGCTCCGGCCTCCGTCTGGCACACGGAGAACGCCACTCCGGTCAGCCGGCTGCTGCGCCAGTTCTTCCAGTTCTGCGCGGATCTGCCAGCCGAGACTGTGGTGGTGTGCCCGCTGATGGGACGGATACTGCCGCGCGCCGCGCTCAAGGATCCGACGGCCGGCCAGGGGATGGCCCGGCCCGGCGTCTGGGCCGGGTTCTGTGACCTGGTGGCCTCCGGACGGGTGGAACCGCTCGCCGACAAACCGCTCATCATCCAGGACCCGATGGAGCTCAGCTTTAACGTGGCGCGGAGTTTTGACCAGGCGGGCCTGGACCGGTTCCGTCTGTGCAGTCGGCAGGCGGTGGACATGCCGCTGGAACGGCTGTTTGACGAGGAGGCGATGCCCAAAGTCAAGAAGATCAAGGCGGCTCAGGCGGCGGCGGCTGCGGCGGCCGTGGTCAAGGCGGCGTCCGGGGCGGCAGCCCAGACGAGCTCTGACGGCCGCGCGGCCGCCGGCGTCTCCAAGAGATCACTGGACGCGGCTGACGTCTCGAACGGAGAGCCTGCGTCCAGAAAAGCAAAACACAACAGTGGCGAGCAGTCACATGAGGTCACCAGCAGCGGTGCCAGCGCCGGCGACTCGGCTGTGACCTCGACAGCCCCAGCTTCAGCCCCGACTGGCAGCGACCGTCGGGAAGGAAACGTCACCTCAGACCCGGCGCTGCTCCGCCGAGTGCTGGCCGATTTTGACCGCCAGCCGAACCGGATCGTCTCCCTCCCGATGGAGTCCCCCGACGGCCGGCGCTCTCCTCGCTCCCCCGAGGAGCGCGCTCGGTACGCCGAAGCGTGCGCGCGCTTCATCGAGGAGATATTCAGCGTCGTGTTCCGTTTCCAGTGCAACACGATGAAATTCGACGGCCTCGACCTGCCGATGAATGTCGTGCGGGGATATACATGCGTGGCGCACCTTCCCACCTGGGAGTTCCGCAAGACGGTGGCCAGTCAGCTGGTGGGTCGGAAACGGACGCTCAGCTACGAGACGGAGATCACTGAGCGGGCTCTGCGGGCGATCGGCAGTCCGGCGCCGTCTTCCCAGCCGCTGGCGAGCTTCTCCTGCTACCTGGTGCTTCTGGAGGAGGACCAGCAGCTGCGCGCGTGTCTGTACGAGGGTGAGACGGCCAAGGCGGGTAAGAACTGCCACAACTTCCTGGAGCGCTACCTGCCCGACATGTGCGGACAGTGTGACTACATGGCGCTGTTCGGCGGAGCGGAGCGGTGAGAGGTGCGGGACGCCAGCGGCCTCACGCAGTCGGCGGTGCCCTGGACCGAACTGAACCGAGCTGAGCGCCAGGGTCGGGGGGGGGGGGGGAGGCGGGTTCAACTGCGTCGAGACGGGTGTTGTTTCCATATGCCAGCGATTATCGGGCGTCTACCCGATAACGCTTTTGCAAGCTCAGAGAAAGTCGTTTTGTTGGCATGTTTGGTGCTCTTTGTTGTTTTAGTCCGGTAAGTTTTCTCTATTAACGTTATTTGTGCGAACTTTAAGCACAATGTCTCCAGAGTTGGGCAGGTAGCCGATTTCGCACTTGGTGAGGCAGCGATGTGGCTGTATCTGAAACGCTGGAACTTTGATGCGGTTCAGCGTTCAGTCGCGCCCCATTATGTCACAAGTGCGTGAACCATATGTGCAGTGATATCCCAGACTTACGGTTGTGAGCAAATACACGTGTGAATTATCAGGCCTCTGCTAACTAGTGTGTAAGAAGTGATCGTGTGACCAATTAGTTCTTTTTGGTCTTGTGCGATGCGTGCGCACCAGCAAAGTTAGTCCTCTCCAGACATTTGTTTCGCTCCACGTTACTGCTGGGCCTATCAGAATATCTTTGTTGAAGAATGGGCAGGGACATTCACAAGCAAATTGTCACATGTATTCGCAGACCCATGAATGGCAACTGAGATAGATGTCCGTAATTGATTCCATTTCAGTCAAATTGCACTTGAAACAAGCTTAACTAAACAAGAGGGACAAAGATGACTTATTCAAGCAAATATGGCCATGAGATGACTTAACACAAACATCAGACTCACAGGCTGTAAGTCAGGCTAGCACGGACCTTCGGAACATTGAGCGAATCACCACAGTGGCCGCTGCTTGACAAAATGCAATGCATTACTTAGCCGCGTTACCTGTAAAAAGCCTCGAGGTACTACCGTACTAACCGCAAGTCGGCATAAAACACTTAAATTCACGACTACATTGACTGGGGTAGTGTGATTTCAACATTACTGGCAACTGGCAAGCTTAGTAGTTAGTATCAAGCGATACAAGCTATTCGACACAAGACAATTAAAAATCTGGCACTATCTATCTACCGCGCAAACACGTAACTTCACCTCTAGCATGCCTGGTGAGCCAAGTTCAGATGTGAAATAAATGTGCTACTATTCATAAACTCTCGCCGAACGTTGAACGAACGCCCAAAATAAATACTCGCTTTAAACGCTGTGCGTTAAAAAAAAAAAAAAACTAAGCACGCTACACATGAAATCACTCTGTATGGCTTCGTTGGACGTTTTGCTGATGAGCTGACTAGCTGGCATTGCTGGCACATCGGTTTACCGCCACCCACACGCCGACTGACTGGCATCATTCACACCAAGCCCTCTCCCAGGTCCAGCACCTTATCGTGGAAGTCCCAGTAGGCCGTCATGTGGAAGGCGATGTTGGACAACACGACGACGTACTCGCTGAGCGCAAACAGCGTGTACACCCCCGGCTCGCAGCGGGCGTTGTGGCGCGCATAGAAGAACATGGCGAACACCAGGCTGATAAAGTTCAACATGAAGAATAGCAGCTTGTGGCGCCGAGAGCGAGCGTCGAGTCTCTTGACGGGATAGAGACGAGGTAACCAGCTCAGCCAGCATGTGATCAGCATGTACAACTCTGAGCAGAACAGAAACACGATGAACGACGCCTTGTGGAAGGGAAAGTTCTCTGAGGATGTGACGAAGGAGAGACCGAGCAGGCCGAGGTTCTCGCAGATGTAGAGCGCATTGGCGGCCTGCACCAGAGCGCGAGCGCTGAGCGTCAGCGCCAGCGTCTCCTGCCAGAAGGTGAGGTAGAACCAGCCGACCAGGAAGCGGGGCAGCGCGTGCAGCGCGATCACTGTCTTCCAGACGCGCCTCTGGACGGTAAATCCACCGATAGCCGCCGACAGTGAGGGCAGGTAGTTGGCCACCTTGCAGTGGGTGGACGTCGCCGACTCGAAGTTGTACTTGAGCGACCAGCCGACGCAGAAGAGAAAGCCGAAGAGAGGTAGCGATACGGTGCTCAGAGCCAGGTGTCTGAAGCGGAGCCGCGGGCCGCGCTCCGCCGGAGACCGGTCGGTGCTCAGAGGGGTGTACCGGTACTGGCGCCGGCCCGGGAGGACCATGTCGACCCCTCAGCAGGCTGGCACGCCCCTCAGCCGAGCCGCCCGCCCGGCCGCCGCCGCCGCCGCTCTCTGTCGCCGGACGGACGAAACCAGTCAGTGAACGTGCCGTCCGGGCAAACTGGGGTGGGTGGGACGTGCTATCGGGGATTGGGGTGAGGGGTTTGTGGCAGGACGTAAATAAAACTATCGGTGCACTGAACTAAAGGTGTTTCTTTCGTAGCTTTCATGATTGTGATGCAGCATGCAGCCTAACAAAATGTCTGTCAATATTTGCAGATCTTTTAGTGTCTTTCTGATATAATGTGCCCAAGCCCCAATGTATGTCTAGCGTAAGAAAACGATAATGAGGATGTATGTAAAGCATGTATTATAAATAACAACCACGTCCAGTGTCCAAATACAAGGCACATCCACGAATAAGGTCAAAACGCACTTCCGCGGCCATGAACGATCAATAATGAGACGAACGTCTTCCAAAAATATCACAATCAAGATCGCACCACAATTAATACACCCAACATCAGCACAGGAATGAATGAACCTTAGGAATCCATCTAAACAGAAGGCATGACGGACTCCAGCGGTATGCTACAGAAGATTGGTGTAATAAACAACACAGGCTGAGATAAATACACACAAAAAATCGGTATATCTGAACTGTGAGTTTGACCATGAAGAAACCAAACACTGCGAAAAAGACAAACATGACCAACTCTCATCACCGAACCACAGGAGGGAGCCAAGACATGCAACTAAGACCCAAATCTTTGAGCCCATTGGAAATCACGGCCACATCCGCGCAGGTGTATTACTACGAGTATACGTCGTGGTACTCGGCACCATAATGTACGCGCACGATGCGGCTGTACATGCACTCAGGATGCACTTATAAAGGCAAAATAACAAACAATGTAGAAAGTGGTAAAAAATAGATGATTTCCAAAGCAAAACAACCGAGATTGAAATGCTCAGATTCCGTCTAGCTCATGCCCTAGATCACCAAGGCCCAACAGACTCTTGCGGCTACGACCACTTGCATGTACCGAAATCGAACACCCTCTCATACATATCCCAATAAGCGGTGCCGTGGAACGCTATATTAGACAACACCACCAGGTATTCACTGAGCGCAAAGAGCGTGTAGATACCAGCCTCGCAGCTCTCGTTATGCCTCGCGTAAAAGTACATAGACAACGTGAGACACGTGCAATAGACTCCAAACAGGAGGCGTTTCCTCCGGCTGGAGACTCTCTCGCGGCGTGTTGTGACTCTCGCGCGGGGCAGGCCACTTAGCCAGATCGTCAGCAGCATATAGAAGCCGGCCGACGTCAGGAACAAAATAAACCCCGACTTGTGCACGGGGAAATTCTCCGCTGACGTCACAAACGACAGACCGAGCAGGCCGAAATTCTCGCTGACGTAGAAAACCTGTGCTGTGAGAAGCAGCAGTCGAGCTGAGTGGAGCGGCGCCAGCGTCCGCCGCCAGTAGCCGTAGTAGAGGTACCCGATCAGGAAGCGCGGCAGCGCGTGCAGCGCGATCACTGCCTTCCAGACGCGCCTCTGCACGGTGAAGTTTCCTATGGCTGCTGACAGGGAGGGGAGGTAGTTGGCCACCTTGCAGTGGGTTGATGTCGCTGACTCGAAGTGGAAGAGCAGCGACCAGCCGACGCAGAAGAGGAAGCCGAACAGCGGCAGCGCCACGGCGACCAGGAGCACGTGCCGGAACCGGAGCCGGAGCCGCCCGCTGCCGGAGAGCAGCGTCTCGGTGGGAGGTTCGCCCAGCAGCGGCTGGTACAGCACCTCACTGGAGCCCATCGGGCCGCCGGGCAGGTCACACTGGCGCACACGGCAGCATTAGGTGAGGCACCAGGGCTGTCTGACGATGCAGTGGTTCTGTGACTTAAATAATGTCCCGACTTAGCATATGGCCAAATATGAATGACGCTGGTTAGCATGGCACAGAAATTCGTGTCTTACCTACCTCAAAAAGCAATAAGAATTAAAATTAAGTTTGAACATAGGTCAAAAGAAGCAGATGCAATGTAAATGAAAATGAAATAAAAATATAAAGTACAAAGCAGAGGCCATCATTCAGAACAAAAAAAAGACCAATAGGTGATCATCATGCATATAAGGTGAATAAGGAAAGTATCTATGCATCTGGTGGGTATGCGAAACAAATATCAAAATGATTGGAGTCAAGGGTATACAAAGATAGGGACAGAGAAAGACTTTGAGACCATAGGCGTGGCAACAGTTCATGTTCCATCAACATTCCCAAATAAATTGGCAATATAATAAAGAAACAAAGGCAAAATTGGCAGTGTAATGGTATGAGATTTTGAAAAAGCAAAGGCTTATCATCCTGAGCTCTATTTTTTTGGCATTCTGCAGGACCTTGCTAAGTAAGGATGGCTGGATTAAAATGCTGTGTGAAAAAAAAACTGGAGGAAAGATAGCAACAAACATTTCATTAAAGCTTTAGCACAGATAACAGTAGTACTACTGTTATCTGTGGCTTTAGGTATTCAAAATATATTGCAAGTGTGCACAAAGTTGACACCATTGTTTACTGGCATTTAACATCAAGATTCAAGAGTAGATACAATCAAAATAACTGTAACTGGGGCAATGAGGCACTTATTTAGCTTGTATACACATTGTGAAACTTAGTGGAGGCTGAGCAATACAGCAAGAGTGAAAACATGCTGCTATCTTTCAATATTCAAACTTTGATAACCTATTTACTGAGACATTCCCGAGTAATAAGTGAAGTCAGGAACACAGAATTCAATGCATTATGCAGCAATGAAGAATCCTATTTAACCCACAAACTGTGTCAATATGTCAATGTTCTGTATGCCTGGTAATGACTGGTGTAAGCAAATTGACCATGGTCAAAAATGCATTACCAGTTTGCACTTAAGCCAACATTTTGGGCTGGTCTTGTTCCTAAGTTGGCTATGACCTTCGGTCCAGAACATACATTTATCGTTAGCATACAGTAAAATACATACCAAACTCGTCTGGTGATAATTTTTCAAGACCTCAGTCCTTACTTATTTTTTAACTCAGCCTTCGGCCTCGTTAAAAAATACAGTAAGGACATCGGTCTTGAAAATTTATGATGCATGGTTTGTGACGATATGGTGTGGTTTTTACTCAATTTTGAGCCCAGGGTGCAAAAGAGGGATTTGCCGAGATAAGACATGACATAAGCTAGAGCTTGAGAACTGATGAATGTGCGAAAATAATTGATAAATATTCCAATAATACCAATACACACCTAAAACCCCACAACACAGCAGCAAGAAGAGGACATAATGTTTCCGCCATCAACAAGGAATACTTGTTAGCTGTGTTCTATTACATACTCGTTTCAACCACACCCAACTTTTTTTGTGAGTTGTTTGGCAACAAGCTACAGATAGGCATTCTCTTACGTCATAAAAGCAGGTTGCCTAGCGATCAGCGGGCTACTGAACAGGAAACTCATTCCAAATTTCTTAGACATATGCAGCGCAAGTACGACAAAATAGATTGGAAAATTAGTGGAATAAGAGCACTATATTATAAGACCTAGTTGAAGATGCAAGAGAGATGCTTGAGCTTAGCTCATAACTTGAGAGGATATAGGTGTAATTCAAGATAGGTAGGTATATAAAAAGCACCAAATAGTTGAATAGCATTGCGAAAGTTTTTTGTTTGAAAAAATGCAAAAAATGTATAAAAATCGAATATCGTGACAAAATCAGGGGTGTGGTCTTCACGCACCTTTTACGGTCCTGCATGCCTCCTGCGGCCTCCTGGGGCTTCACTTTCAACATACCCAAGGACATACCCAAACCCCTAGCTAGGACATACCTGAGCTTTTGCATAGCCATGTGCTTTGTGAGGAATTACACTATATCGCCCAACTTATATATAGGCACTGTGTAGTGTGTAGGCATCCTGCCAAGGAGGGAAGACCGGGCTCGGGGCTCGGCGCAATAGGAGCTGTACCGACTACCAGGGCTGCTGAGTCGATGGATTTTCGGCGACTCCGACTCCGACTCCGACTCCGACTCCGGGCAGAATTGTCGACTCCGACCGACTCCAACTCCCGACTCCGACTCCGCAGACCTAGCAGGGCTGCGGAGTCGACAGATTTTCGGTGACTCCGACTCCGACTCCGGCTCGGGTTTCTAAAATCGACTCCGACTCCGACTCCGACTCCGGTCACAACTGTCGACTCCGACCGACTCCGACTCCGACTCCGACTCCGACTCCGCAGCCCTGCCGACTACCGTTTACCAATTGAATGCTTGTTATTTAAGCCGGATCGATATAATTGGGGAGGTTGATACCTCTTAATTTATACGCTTTGCTTCGAATGTGGAATGGTGGCCCGCTTGAATTCGGATTGATGATTGAGGGCTTCCGGCTTAGCCTGCTTCCCCCACCAATCAGCGTTGAGCGCTGCCTAAACGGATCCCTTTTACCTGCGTCTCTTTTTATGAAAAAGCGATATTTTTAGGTGATCCAGTTTTAAATAAAACGGCCACCTTAATATCAGCTAGATTTGCCGCACATAGGTCATCAGTCGATCCGGAGTCCGGACCTGATGAGTTGAAAATGAAAAATTTCGCCACCAAAAGGAATTTAAGGTATCACGTAGCCTAGCCTGTCCTGTGCACAAGGGGTTGATCACGCATGGCAACGGGAACCGCATTATCAAGCATTCAAAAAAGGTACCGAAGCTGATCCCAATAGCCCTAGCCATAGTCTGAAGGCTAACGGCGGGATGAAAAGAGCGATGGGTCCGTCGGCAGATGTCTCATACATTTGCCTAATGGTCGACTCGACTTCTTTGTTTCCAGGCAGACTCGCTATTCATAAACGAAACGCTGTCATAAGGCGACCTTTTTCATCCATTATCCGCCTAGCTGGAAATATCTGACACATGTCTTCAATTCTAGTCGAGATTCTCCCGAAAAGGACTGTTTTAGCCTATATTTTTAGCATATTACCGAGCACCATACGTCACATTTGACGGCGGCTCGGCTCGGCCTCAGGGATGGACTTCTGTTAGGGAAGCTGAAACAAAGACGCATGGCGGCCCGGAGAGCGGGCCGAGCCGGCGAGCCGTGGTCCGTCCCCGCGGGCCCAGCGGCCGTATTCAAATACACCCCGGGGAGCAGGTCACGGGGACGATGAATATTGAATAATGACTGCAGGCCGTGGGGTAGCGGGAGCTCCACGTGGGACGGGGGGCCAGCGCTCTTCTGCTCAGCCCTCAGGCTTGACCCATACCCGGCTCGACGCGACCCAGACTCGACGACAGTCGACAGCAATTGGCGCTGCGCTGCACATCCAGAAAGATATGCTCCAAGCCCAGACCACAGACTAATTCCGGATCAGTGCCCCAGACCTACCCTTCCCGAACCACATGGGAGTCACAGACCAGATCAGACCCAGGTCCGCCCGGACGATGGATTTGAGTCCTATAGCACACCAGACCAATCCAGGCTATGACCCAAACTGGACCTAATTTTTAAGTGAAGTTACGGCTTTACCTAATGCATAACCGATTTTTATCCGACAAAATAAAAATAAAGAGGCATGGGAACTGTTCAGTGTTCATACCTATGACCCAACCCACACTGCCTTTATACAGAGGCCCAGCCCGTAAAAGCACTCTTCTGTCCAAACTCATTCCTAACACAAATGCCTCTTACAAATGCCCAGTGCCCACTGCCCAACCCATGCAACCCAAGCTCAGCCCGGTTTCTCCCGATACCAGTCGACCACGCCGTTCCAGTTTCTGAGCCGACCCGTTGAGAGCCAATGACGTCATCATAATGCGAGCTGGCTGTCTCCGGAGTGGCCTTATTTTACTGTCACCGGGGTGCAATGGTCCGAGTGCGGACTGAGCGATAGGCGAGGATAACCCCCGCCGCAGCTGCTGTTAGCATGGGAAGAGGGCGGAGAGGGGTTGTCAGTGGTCCAAAAACAGACGTATTCGCTGCCAGAGGAGAGGGAGAGAGAGAGAGAGAGAGAGAGAGAGAGAGAGAGAGAGAGAGAGAGAGAGAGAGAGAGAGAGAGAGAGAGAGAGAGAGAGAGAGAGAGTGAGATTAAGTGAGCAAGAAAATAGAGCATACGACAATAATGGAGTGTTCACGAGACTATCCCAAAAGAGAACGTTACCGAAAATATTAACGCACAGTAAAAATGTCCGTCTATCGTGAGCATGGAGAATAAAATATAGAGAATTCCTATAAAAAATAAAAATATAAGAATTAAAATAGAGAATTGAGAAAAAAATAGAAATAGAGAAAGAGAATAGAGAATAAAAATAGAGAATTCCTGGCCCCGAGAATCCACACAGTCCATAAAGTGCACGGACAGCTGGGTTTGTGGTTCAGATACAAATCCAGGGAGTCAGTGGCTCGGACAGACCGCACTCCGAGACCAATGGGGTGAGAGGGAGCAGTCTGGAGCGGACAGCGGGGACGAGTGAGAGGGGGGGGGGAGGGGCATGTGCCTCCGTCAGCATAACACTATACTGCAGAGTCTGAATATAGGGCATTGTAATAAATATTGGTAGTGAAGCACTGTTAAAAACTAATAGATTTAAATCAATTAGCACTTAAACTGTGCATATAGCCTACACATAAGCTGTGCTTAGGTAAGCCTGAACACAAACTGTGCTTATAGCCTGCACACAAACTGTGCTTATAGCCTGCACACAAACTGTAGCCTGCACACAAACTGTGCTGATAGCCTGCACACTTTCCATAGGAACGACCACTGACGAGAAGCATAGGTAATAGACATAATATTTAGGTGCTAACTGAGGTCAGGCGACAGGGACAAGTGTTCACAAAAAGCGTGTTTAGTTTGTGGAATCGGCTTTATCAGTGCACGATGTTTCCGTTTGTCTACTTATGCATTCGATTATCAAACGCTCTTTGAAGCGAGTCGTTCCAAATATTTTTTCCAAGGTAGAATTGAGAGGTGTAATTACAGGATTATTTGGGTATGATTATCGAATATCCTATCGGCTCAATCTTGGTGCGGCTCTAACAATGATTATCAAACGTTTACCGACTTTCTAGAGCCGTGGGTGCACCTAAGTGAGCGAGAAATTATGCATTAACTCTGTGAAACTGAACGGCAAAGCTTAAATTGCATGAATTAGGAATTAACACCTACGATATCCCTAAAATACATCATCATTCATTTTTCTCACACATTTACCCGTTAGTAACGCCTCTGAACGTATATATGCTTTTCATAAATTTGTTTGCTTCTTCATGACTGTTACGAGCACCTCACGTTAATTGGAAACGTTTCCCGTTTATGGAGCACCGCCATTTTCTTTTATTCCTCTATCCCTCCCTCGCTCTCTTCCTCCCTCTCTTTCTCTACCTCCCTCACTTTCTGTCAATATAGGGACCCCATCAAACGGAAGTCAAGACCTGAGTCCCGAGAGCGGTGAGCGTTCTCGTCAGAAACCTCTCCCCCTCCCTCCTCTCTCCCCTCACCCACCCCCACCGTCCACCGCCGCGCGCGAGGCCGTCCCATTCACACGCTGTTCGACCAGCACCCAGCGCTGTTTCAATTTCCCGACCATGAATACGAAGACACGGGGGCGGGGCGGGCGGAGGGGTGTGCGGACATTCGCTCTGGTGCGTGTCCCGTCGTCGTCGGTCCGTTGGCGGGAGTTTGGTCGCTCGTCGGCTCACACCTCGCGACACTGGGAGGACGCCGGCGCGCCGTCGCTGCCGACGACCGGCGGCCGTCGCTGCCGACGAGCAGTGTCGTTGGCGATGGGGCGGCGGACGGTGCGGTCTGGCGGAGCGCAGAGCGGGCCCACGGCGCTGCCCTGCCCGGCCACTGTCTCCGGCACACAGAGGTGAGGGAGGGCCGCGGACTCGTTTTACAGGGGCGTGGATGGGGTGGGGATGTATGTGCAATTTGTCTCCAAATATCAGGACCATTTTAGATAGTCCTGAAGATTTCGTGCATGCTTGAGGAATCGCAATGCATGCAATGTTATCTGATGACCTTTGCTGCTTGATGCTAATGCTAACTTATGGTACGCTCTTGCACTTTGCTGCACTCTTATTGCTACACTTTGGCTTGTCCTCGTTTGCGTAATGCTATAATGGTGGTCGTTCAGCGCGATGTGACAAGACAGCCGTGTCCCCTCACAGTCTCTCCACACTCACAGCTTGTTTTCGGGATTTCCCTCTGTCGTCCGGCTGCTTATCCTCTCATGGTCAGCCGTTTGGTGCGTGCATGTCACAATGACGTTTTATTGAATGTTTACGTGGGCCTTGTGCAAGAGCCCGTTAAAAGTTTTTTTTATCTGAGAAATAATCTCAATTTCATGATTCACACCGCTCTGCATCTGCATGCGATTGCGTACGGTGTAATTGTAGACGTACCTATATTTATGTGTTTTCATGGGCTGCTTACGCAATGAGAAGGCTGTGTGGGATCGATCTCAGTTCTCCCATAACATTTAAATTTCCCCCCATCAGGGTATTTCCATAATCATTGTGCAGAGGTTATACGACTCCGACCTTACGAAACGAAATGGGACAGGTCATTGCGATACAATGGAACATTTTTAGCTATAAGCTAGTGCTTATTATCACTATGTTGATTAAGTTCTTATGATGTGTTAGTGGTGGACGTTATTTCGTTACTTGCCAAACAATGCTGACAAATATTTGAAAACATCTTATGCTGTATTTGCCAATTAGAGCTTAGGTGCATCCTTTTCAATGGGTGGAATATTATGTACATTAGTATAACTTGTATGATTATATGTTTTACCGGCCAGTGAATACTTGCACAAATATACCATGCGAGCGTACATTAATGTGCGTGTTCCGGCCTGTTTCAGATGAGTGCGAGTATATACCACTGGTCCACTAGGAGCGGGGGGCTGCTGGCGTGGATCCTGCCCGGTAAGTCGCCCCCCCCCCCCCCCCAAAGTAGCCAAACCTCTCCAGACGCCAGAACACATCAAATGGCGGCGCCCTTCAAACGCACGCCTATTGCCCCGACCGATGAATTATTCATGCACGGGACGATGGATCCATAGTTGGCTCAAGCTTTCAAGTCACACGAGTATATGATGTGATATGCATTGCAGTTCAGGCAACTGTAACCCGTCCTTGCGCCAGCCAAGCTAGCCGCTGGTTCTCTCAGCTTTAACGTCAACTACATTTCCGTTTATGCACTAACCCAAAGCCTAAGTGAGTAGAGTCGGACGATGGATCGATCTCTTGACTTTGATGTCCGCTCTATTTTCCGGCTGGTTTGAGTCTGTGGGATCGGTCGTTGCGATCAGTTGCCGCTGGAAGGCCGGTCGGTGGATAGCGTCTCTGAACTACATATTCGTTTTCTTCTGTTACAGTTGTTCTATGTATCCGCATCACACAAGTACAGATCCCGCAATCTGTAGTGCTGGGAAAAGCAGTGACACTCGAATGCAAGTACGACCCCGAGGGACAAGATATATACGCCGTCAAGTGGTACAAAGACTCGTTCGAGTTCTACCACTTTCTGCCGAAGAGCAGACAGCAGAAGGGCAAATACAATGCCACCGGTCTCGACGTCGTGGTGAGTACCAACGGGTTTGCAACGAAACAAATGGTGTCGTTTATGCTTGAACAGAAGACACTCGGTTTATCCAATAGTGGTACGTGAGTAATATTAGAGCCTGGAGCTTCATTCTTATGGAGAAGCCATAGCAAGTTGAAGCTTTATGAACACATTATTTGTGCTATTATTTGTGCTATATATGAGTTAGTGAGTTTTTTTTTCTAAACAGTGCATTTTCTAATATAATGCTTCGTTTCATTCTTGATGTTAATCATATTGTATCCGCTACATTTTACGCTGTATTCTATCGTCTGCATTTAATTAGCAGAACAATGCGATGATGGATAGCGTAACTGAAAGTACCCCACGTGCAACTAAAGTAACGGGTAAAAACTATAAGCCAACACCAAGCCATGACCAAGCCAACACCCTGAGCCAACACAGCTTGATGGCTTGATGCATTTAAAGAATGGAAGGAAGATACGGGGGACAAAAGTTAGGCGCGCAAAACACAAATGCACTTTAGAGCCCTAATTGAAAAAGGCAAAAACTAAGCAGCGGCTACGAACTAAATGTCAACAAAAAGCGTTCAAAGTGGATGGCACTGCTAATGTCACCACTGGTGAATACGATTACGGCTCAACTTCATAACAAACTTTGGGTGAGATGAAACAAACGAAGAAATAAGACAGCCCGTCTAGAAGGAAGGCAAGTGTAAAAAAGGTTAAATGATTTTAATGGCCGTACAAAGGCCTCTTAATGCCCAGCCGCAGAAGTCCGGTTAAACCATGCACGATATTCTCATACGTTACCGAATGCAATTTATCATCGTAATGAATGCTTATTATCAAATTTCGCTATTCTTTATCCAAGTGACGACTGAATATCACGCAAGCGTGCCAATATTAAAACCTCGCCTCCGGCATATCCAGGAATTCATGGAATCGGTGGTGTTACAAATGTAGTCGGTATAAGAATGCCCATAGCCGTGAATATCCTTTTTACAATTTTACTAAAACAAGCTCCCTTCAACCCAAACGTAATTATATCGAACATTGTTCTAAATTTTCCGTTCGCGGTCCAGTTAGTATTCCCAGTTGTGGTTCTCTCGTGCACGGCTCACCTTTGAAAATGTTGCCCTAGTACCTCTGGTCCGACGTGGCACGTCTCGGGAGTTAGAATTCGCTGGTCACGACTTACCTCTGCTCGCGGCTCCGTAACGTACATTTCTACATAATGCACCAGTGTTCGGGTGCGGTCAGTTATTTATATCTTCCTGTAGTCGGACCCAGGTATTCAAGGTAAGATAGGTTAAAGCTGGAAAGGACCATTGCTGGTCTGTGCAGGCTGAAGCGGCTGCAACGAACGGTAGAGGCAACGGTGAAATGGCATTAAATTTGTTATTATTTCAACAGATTAAATTTCAACTGTGATATCGACGAACTAATGTAGGATCCAATCAATCACAAATATCCCTTCCCAATGTCTTTGAATCGGGACGGCTCATTTACTTGATGGATTAAACACATAAAGACAAACAAATTCCATCAAATTTCCTCCAGATCTGAGGCCGTAACTCCTGCCTGGCTCACAGCGCGACACCGTACAGTGTCTGTAACAAACCAGCCATCACCCGGTCCCTGCGGAAGGGCTGCCGCTGGGGGCCCCCGATCCGTTCATCACTGAGACGCGTGCCGTGTGCGTCAGCCGGTCCCTGGGGGCGCGAAGGGCGCCGCTCTCCCACCCCGGTCGATGGATACTGATCAATCTGCGCCGTATGAGTCTCCGGCGCCCCGGAGACGCTATCTGACGCGCCGGGAACACAGGTAGACAGCCCGCAGACGACGCGAATTTTAAGAGGTTTCGCCTTTGAGCGAGCGTGCAGAGAGAGTACCTACCCAGCGGAAGCTTTCACAGACAGGGTGGCGGCATACGAAACTTGCCGGAGAATGGCTCGAATCGAACTTCTAAATGCGGCACACATCCGGCGGTTTCTTTGAATGCTGAGCCCCGATCACGTCGGCAAAGACTTTGTCATCTTGGTCGAGGTAGTTTTCTGCGAGCTCACCGGAAGACAAATTTGCGGCTGGTCTTATGAAAATGGTGACAGCATTAGCAGCTCGCGTTGGTCTTAGTCTTGTACCGCACGCAGACCACCCTCTTCGCTCACAATAGACTGACGATTTTTCTTTGGAGCTCAGAGAGGAGGGCCCTCATTCGCAGGGATTTATTCATCAAATAGTGAAGGTGCGTTGAATACGCTAAAGAGATAGGAATGAGAGCCTTTCGAAACAGCTGAACTTTTTATAAATCTACTCTTTTGTGACAGGAAAGTTCAGGTATGATGCACTGCAAATTGATGAAACTATTATTCTGAAAGAACATTTGATGGACTTATCGTGCAATGTTCAAGTCACAGGCTTACTTGACTCCTTGCAATGATCAGCACAGGCATCTCAATTCCTCTCCGAACACATGCATGTGTTCGGGGAATGTGGAACCATCAATCATGATTGATGGTTCCACAATCCCCGAACCCACTGCACCGCTCGTCTGCGGCGCTGACGTCTCGAACTGGCCGGTGTCGGCCGGCGGCGCACATCGCTCCATCAGCGCCGGCCGCCCAGGTCGCGAGCCGAATCCAAATGCAGCCGCCACGGCCGGGGCGCTAAACCCGGTAATCCGCCGGCGGCGGCCCAGTCAGATGCAGCCGCCGGCTCGTTTGTCTTCCGCCTCCTCCGTCCAGCTCAGCGCGGCGCGGCCCAGCCACTAAGTGGCCGGACTGACGCGCCCGCCGGACCCCGACGGGGCAGTCCGGTCACATGGCCGCCCTGTCGCGCCCCGCTGCCGGTCACGTGGCGCGGTGACGTCACTGGGGGTAGCCTTTGTTGCTGATGGCGTGCGCTGAGTGCATCGTTGGCCGGCAGACGACTGAGATCGGTGCCGGCTCCCCGCGCGGCCCGGCGATGGTGCCCGATAACGGTGTTTTCTGCGTCATTTTCCCGAGGGAGGCCATCACTGCGACCGGAAGTGTACTACAGTTACTGATGCACCCCTGCTAGAAAATGCGTGATATTGATAAAGCGCAACTGAACAGGATTTGCTGATATTCAGCGCTTTTAATTTGGTAGAGAAAAAAAAAACTAATGACCATAACAGCTTCACATGGACAGGGGTCAAGTTTCTGTGAGCATTAAATAAATGGCAGCATTAGTCTTAATTGTGTGAAATATTGGCACTGTATAACTTTGGTCTGGTATTGGTATTAGTATAACTGTATGACCTTGGTGATCCTCTTCTTTATAACGGCCACGGAAAGAAAACCATTATCCGTTGCACCATACGGGTCGGTCACGCCGCGCCGGAGCGCCGCGAACCGTGGCGGTGGGTGCGAGGGATGCTGTGCCGCATCACACGCGTGTAGGCCGGGTCAGTCTACCTAGCCAGTCGCGCCGGCTTTACAGCCGCCATGGCCTGGCCGGGCTGCGCTGCGATGCTTTGATACTATTTCTAGCAGTTGAATGTGAAAAATGATAAAGTACCGTTTTTTTTTCTCAACTAAACCAACACTAAACATGAATGAAAATTATTTATGTCATCCCCAAGTCATTGTTTCGTTTAGAACCCCACCACTCAGCGTCGTCTGCCGCCAGTGCCATTGCGGCGTATCCCGCTGGCCAAGACGCCACGGAGCGGCTGTGACCGTCGTTGGCAGACATTTTATCGGCGAGCTGCTCTAGCAGCCATGTGTCGCTCTCAATGACACCTAACAGAGGCTCAGTGCCCGGCTCTGGCGGCCGCCGGACCGGACTGAAGGCTGCGCCGAGCCGTGAACACTGGCGCTGTCGGACACGGACGCACTATCGGTCGCAGCTCGCAGCCAGCAGCGCACATTCTTGGCGTATTTACGAGCGCGATGGCCATTTACGATCATCATCACATGCATATTGTATAATGAATATTCCCACGAGTTCTTTATTGTTTTCATGCTTTTTAACGACTTGCTGCAGCGACGCACGTGTAGTAAGTAATTCGTTTGCCTTATCTTGCCTCTCACGTCTCACAATACTCAGTTAGTAGATCCGTTAGAAGAGACACTGACTTACCACCGCCCCTGTTCGGTTTCAGCTGGAGAGGTCGTCGGACTCGGAGGTGACGGTGCGGGTCAGCTCTGACCGCGCCGCCGGCACATACAAATGTGAGGTCTCCGGAGAGGGGCCCGAGTTCTGGACCAGCTTCGCCGAACGCAATGTCTCCGTAGTCAGTAAGTTGGGCCGTTGACAACCGGGCGAGGCTGGTTCGTTTGGAGACGGTACTGCTTCTCAGTAATCGCTCTGGTGATGGAACTCCTTGTTGGCTCTGAAATAACCTAAAGATTTGAAGAATAATGAGACCATAAGCTCACCAGTGTGTGAAACCGTTTTCGTTAAACACGTCAGCCCACGCCGGGCTATTTCTCATGAAAATTACACCAGCACTTGTAGCCTCCTTGAGTATCCTATCAGATCGTCCGGTCGAGCAGCCGACTCCGCCGAACAATCACCGTCAAATCTCCCTTTCACCTCGCCTTCAATCGATTCCCTTCCTCGTCATTAAGCAGGGATGGTTGTATTTGAAGACCCTACGCCGGCCCATAGGGCCATGATTGTGAGGTTCTAGGTCTCATCGCATTGCGCCTGCATTCGGACGACGATTTCGCCGAGGCGGGCTCCGAATGCAAATCACCTGATTATCATTCACTTATGCGAATTCGAATGACATCGGCTGCGTCTTCCCGGTAGCGGAAAATTGACAACGAAAATATTCGACGCTACAGCTGTGCCTCAAAATTGCCGCGGGTTAATCGCCGGGAAATTATGCCCCCATTATGCCTCGGCCGAAGTCATAAAGGCGGCGTATCCGTTGCCAGCTTTAAATCTCGCGGACCCGTTTCGAATTGGATGGCGAGGATTATCATAAAACGGCCGTGGCCGCAGTGTTAGTGGGATATATCGTGATTAGAATGTCGGTTTCGGTGGCCGTTGGGACACGTCTCTGTGCTCAGTGACCGGTGGCGACCGTTTGCAGTCGACTGAGCGAGCTCAGCCGCGGCGGCAAACTGTCCGGGCAGACACCATTCCGCAGCGACAGATAACGATTATAGCCGAGGTGTTTTGCAACACTGATGAGCATTATTTTCATTTTTACTTTTTGGTAATATTTTCTTTCTTTTTTAAACTGGAAAGTAGTTAAAACAATTTGACAATGTTTTTTGCAGACATTGGATATTTAATGATTTGACACAGACAGATCAAATAACTTTTCATTTTGAACTAAGGCCGTGCGTCGTATCAGCTTATTCAGCTAGTCAGTTGCAGCCCCGTCGATTATTACATTAAATGTGAGCTATGCTCAGTTAATGAGAACGGTGTCAATAGCACGCCGTAATGATCATATTAGGAGCGTCTATCATGTATTTCCCCTTCCCAATTTTGCTTAGATCAATCATTTTACGGCGGGAACTCCCACGGGCGTCCTCTCAATCTCTCATAACGGCATTACCTTGGCGTCTCCTTCTGTATCGTCCCCTGAGACGGGCGGGAGGACCGAGCGGTGTGGTCCGAGGGTCGAGCAAAGGGCGGTGATGTGGTAGGGACCTCTGCTCTACCATTAGTGGGCCCTGTCCATCCTATCTGTCGGTTTGCCTGTCTTTCTGTCTCATCTGTCTCTGTCTCTGTCTCTGTCTCTCTCTCTCTCTCTCTCTCTCTCTCTCTCTCTCTCTCTCTCTCTCTCTCTCTCTCTCTCTCTATCTATCTATCTCTCTCTCTGTCTCTCTCTCCCTCTCTCTCTTTTTTTTTCTCTCTCTCTCTCTCTCTCTCTGTCTCTGTCTCTCTCTCTCTCTCTCTCTCTCTCTCTCTCTCTCTCTCTCTCTCTCTCTCTCTCTCTCTCTCTCTCTCTCTCTCTCTCTCTCTCTCTCTCTCTCTCCCGTTTCTATCTCTTTCCCCTATCAAGGTTTCCCTCCGCTCCTCCGTCACCACAGCTGTCTCTGTCACTGTAAGGCTGATCGCCGATCATCTCCACTCTCCCTCCCTCTCTCTCCCTCCCTCTCTCTCCCTCCCTCTCCACCTCTATATCTACCTCTCTCTATAACTGTCGCTGTCACAACCACGCCGTCGGGAGAGGCGAGGGTTCGGCGCCCTCCGGACGGGGAGGAGACCGTCCCGACAAAGACAGAGCACCTTGCTCGATATCCGTCCCCCTGAGGAACCCGGCGGCTCTATTTTACTGCCAGGGTCCGAGCGGTGAATATTTCCTCAACTGCTCCCTACCAGAGACCAAGCACGGGCTTCTGTCTCAGTCTGAAAGCCTGTGAGACAAGCTTGTTCAGATCCCAGAAGAAGAAGAAGATCCCGCTATCAAAAACGGTACAACTCAAATCACCGAACACATGTTTGCTTAAATCTCAGTCCCCTATCAAAAACGGTACATCCCAAATCACTGATCACGTTGACCCATAACTGATGAATCTTTGACTTCTCTGACCACCTGTCGCCCCGCTGACCAATCTCCCCCCTCCCGCAGCGTTGCCAGACCGACAGCCGGAGATCTGGGGCCACCAGCACGTGTATCGCCCCGGCGATAATATCTCCGTCAACTGCACATCGCCCAACGCCCGACCGGCCGTACACATCAACTGGTTCGTCAACGGCGAACAGGTAAGGGTGAGAAGGAGATGGGGAGCTCTGAGCGAGACATTAGGGGTCACAGAGTGAGATGGATAGTGTTCGCATATGTATACCTATATAGTCAGGATAAAAGTTTCGTATAGGAAGGTACCCGAGAATTACAGATATTATGTATGTGCTGCATTGGGAGAATGCCTAACCATTTCTACCATTTTCGCTTCTCAAAGGCATATAAAATGTGGGTCCTACATTTCGTTTTTGGCTTATGTATCATTTTAATTATTTTGCGCAAATTAAACCTCAGAACCTCATTCAATCTTCATCTATGTAGGCGTGTTTCCTTTGGATCTCGTTCTTTGTCCGGACTTCAGCTCCCTGTCACCCCCTCCCCCCTCCGTCGGTGCGGCTCCCCTGTCGGCAGGGGCCATCTTGGCTCGATTTTTGCCCGCTGTGAGAGTACCACGCGGGTATTGATCGGGCTCGCGCGTCCTCGCGCTTCACTGTGCCCCGCCGCCTCTCCCCTGCTATTGCCCGTCGTGGGAAAACCAATCCCAACGAGGATCAGCTTAACCGCGCCTCAACTGACGCGCCGCGCCGCCTCTCGCCTCGCCGCGCCATTCCTCGCCGCGCCGCGCCGCGCCGCGCCGCCGACAGATATCGGCTCGTAATCACTGCACGAATCGCCGCCTGTCATGAAGGAGCCAGTGCCACGTTTGTTCTAATCGTGACGTTGACCAGTGTCAGGCGGAGCACCGCTGCCGTTTTACGCATGTCATCACCAGCCGTCGCGCGATGGATGGAGGCGAAACACGGCATGTGACGCGGATATAGTCATTGATCGGCGATCGCGGTCGGCCCAGCGATCGGGAATCCTATGACGTGCGTAGTTTGATGGGATTAACTCGACGTTGGTTTGCAGTAACTGTTTGCTTGCAGCGCAGCGGATTAGAAATGTGTCACATGCGCTCTGCTTATACCAATTCTGGATATCTATAGGGAAGTAATGAAGATGCAAGATGCAAGGTATTTTTAGTGTAACTGGATTGTCCAAACAAAAGTTTGAAAACAAAGCGTGCCAAGATATGACGTACCGTAGAAAAGTTAGTGGTGAAATGCAATCACGCTTTACCGGCACTACTACAGCATACTCGTGCGCTAGCGCTATATTTGGCTTAGTAAAGTTTTCCCACCACTATATCAGTTACCAGCATCTATTCAGGAGACCAGTTAATTGGTCAGCTACCACAGCCATGTCTAGGCCATCATATAGAATTCAATCTCAGTCCTGTGGCCCATCTGAGTCTGACTGACTTTGACTGAGGGTATGACTGTGACCTGAGCGGGGGCTAATCACCAGGAGTCGCCCACTATATCCGCTCTGACTGCGTCGGTGTCAGTGTCAGGCCCGAGAGGCCTCGGTCGTGTCAGTGTCGGCGGTGTCAGTGTCAGACCCGAGAGACAGCAGGCGTGTTCGCTGACACTGCTCTGACCTCGGCATCGCTCCGACGGGAACTGGGAGTGACAACCGACAACGGACGGGCAGACAGATGGAACAGCCAGAGAGATGAACAAACGGGCACATATATAGACGGACTAAACCCTGGCAGAGACAAACAGACAGACAGACAGATGGACAGTTGGATAGACGGTCGGCCAGCCGGACGGAGCAGGTGTTTTCTGAGAGTTTAAACTACATTCGAGTGATCGACCGATATGTTCCTTTGTCTTTTGAAGGGAGCTGTCACCTATACAGAGACGAGCAGGATTTTTGTTTGAAACCATCCGATTTTGTGATGAGCCTTTCCCTGCTTTTTGCCTTAGGAAATGTTGTGATGGATATTGATTTGGTCGCTCTCGGAGTATTTGCTTTCTACGGATCGAAGGCAGAACTGACAGATAACTTCCTGACAAGCTCGTATAGAGCTCCAAAAGCGTATTTATGTAAACTAAAAGACGCCAGCAATGAAGAAGTTCCGAATCACATCCCTTGAAGTATGAGCGATTGCCAAGGAATCGGGCTCGGTCTAAAATTAAGGTCGTCTGCGGGGACTACAAAGTTACGCGCAAAGCTAGTCGGGACCTGACACGCTGAGATCCATCGGTCTTCATCGCTCTATTATTAGGTCGTTAAGACTCTCATCAAAGCGTCATTACCGTGTCATCAGTCTGACAACAGAAGATCGTCAACTCATCAGACTGTCATCTTCAGGCCGTCATCAGACCGTCATCAGGCCGTCATCATACCGTCATTAAACCGTCATCGGTCAGTTAGCGTAGCGGAGCGTCATTTGGGCCGTCATCTGCAATTACGATGTGCATTGCGGATCGGGACTTATGTGGTTTACATATTTACACATTTATGAAATCGATTGAAATATGCATGAAAAGCCTATTTTTCGCGTATATTTAATCAAGATCAAATTGTATGTTGCACACACACATAACAGCTAAAATAAAAAGCCAAAACCGCTGTTCATCGACCCAAAAAACAAACAACACTTTTATTTTACACAACACTATACTACGACCTGGAACCACCAATCTTATCGCTGTGTTAACACTATCTTTATCGGTTGATCTATGTTCAAACTTCATTTGTCGTCATAACTTCATCTGTCTTCTCAACATTCGCCTTCATCGCATTGCCCGTCTCTCACACAACAGTCGAACTCACCCGGCCTCGCCCGATTCACCGCCCCGCCATCCAGCCTCCATCCGTGGCGTCTCCATCCGTCGTCCGCGCCAGATCTGCCTCCGACGCGTCATTGTCTGTCATCATTTCGCGTCGCTCGTCCCCCGCTGACACGGGAAGGTATCGATCGCTGCGAGCGAGCCTGCCCTGCCCTACGAGAGAGATAGCGGGCCACGCGGTCGTGGAGGACTGGTCATGTCGTCAGAGATACACATCTTGCGGGAGATTGTAGACGGGCTCATTGAAAATCGGCGGCAAATGTGACAGATGCAGTCGTGATTGAAGGGAGAACTTCAAGCAGTTTCAACCACATATTAATTAGCTACATAAATTACTTGAGTGTCAATGTCGGGCAAATGGTCGCAAGTGATGCAGATGACATCAATTGAGTGTCATTCCTTGTTTTAGAAAAGCTACAGGAACAAAACAATTCATCAAAGCTCCACTTACGCCCACTACAGTTTTAATTTACGGGACGCCAGTCGGATAAAATCAGCGTAAAGGTGGCCCAAAGTGGTCCATCTGACACACCACAGCGCGCTCTCGACACGGCACCAAACAAAGGCGCCTGGCGACTCACTGGCTCCCCATATAACTCTCCCGCTCTTCTCATAACGGAGGAACTCTAAAGCGCTGTGTTGGCACACTGAGCGGAGCGCTCCCCTCAGTGCTCGCTCCCCTTCCGACTCGCCCTGCCGGCCCCCGGTATGACTCACATGGGACAAACTTGCGCCGCGAGCCGGCCCGGGGCGCGAGAGATGGAGGTAACTTTGGTGTCCTGGTGACACGGAGGGGTGATGAACGCAGCTGCAGAGTGGAAACCTCGGCAAAAGTGGTGAGCTGTAACGGGCAGTGAAGATGGCCAAAGTACGCCAGGTTCCGGGAAATATAACCGTCTGATGCTTGGTATGAGAGCTGAGAGAATTCGAGCCTTACGGCAGCGTGTCGGTAATGCATATAAATATATAATAAAAACTTAAAAGTAAAATTCAGATCGTATTACTGATTAATCAAAATGAGCTAGGCCTCAATAACCAATAGCTGATCAGCTTACAAGGTTAGAGCAAATCGCACATCATTGAGCTCCGAATCACCAATTACCAAATGGACCGTAGTCCTCCACAACCAGTTTAAGGTCATCTCTTATGCCTCCAAATTGTGCGGGCACATATTTTGTTTCATTGGCTCCCCGCTTCATCTCACAGCTCGGTTTCTTTGTTTGGACTTTATCACCCCATCTGCACATCGTCTGCGTTTTATCACGCACTTCTTCTCTCCCTCCCACACTTGCTGTTCAACAATGTGCTCACATTTCGCGAACTGCTCCAGTTTTCTCCCGCACCTCTCACATAAGTCACGGTTCTCCCGTCCCTTTGGTCGTTGTCGTCCCCCGCCGCGAGTAACCCCACCTGTCTGTGACGACCCAGGTCTCTCCAGCCACCAACGGGCCGCCGAAATGACACCATTTTCACCGAGTCAGCGGCCGCCGGCTCCCCTTTGTCTGTCGAGGAATGACGGTCGATTAGGTGTCCGTCGGTCTCGGCAATCCCGGTGTCGCAGCGGGTCGTCGTTCGTCGAAACCGATGGTCGCTGGACGGCCCCGACGGTCCGCCTGTCGCTGGCGGTGACGGCCGACGGGCCGACGAGCCGAACTGATTCGCTGCCGCCGGCAGATCCGGCAGGCGAGGAGTCGATATCGTAAAAGCCGAGTGTCGCTGTTTGTAGCGAGTGCTTATCTGTTTGTCTGTTTGCCTGTCTGTCTGTTACTGTTTGTATATTGTCTTTCTGTATGTCTATCGTCTGTCCGTCTATCTGTCCGTCCATGCATGTGCACCTGTCCGTATGTCCGTCTATCTATCTATCGTCTGTCTTCACGCCGGTCCAGTGTGCGTCTGGCGTCAATAGTTCGTCTCTCTGTCGTCTATCTATCGGTCGTCCAGCCATCAGCTCGCCTTCCGCCCGTACTCCCCTCTCTACACCTGTCGATTCGACCGCTCACTAATCTCACTCCCTCTCCCTCTCTATCGTCAGGTATCTCGAGACAATATCCACCACTGGCGGACACCGAGCTCCGACCGGCTGGTCACATCCACCGGAAACCTGCGCATGACCGTACGTCAGCATCATTTCAAGGCGGGCATCATGCAGCTGATGTGTGTGGCCTCACTGGACGATGTCTACTGGAAGAGTGTGCACGTGGACCTGCCGCAGTGGGGAGAGCAAGCCCGCGGGGCGCGCAGCAACGGCCTCTTTGCTAACGGTGAGTGGTGAGCGGTGGCGCGGGGCGGCGGGCGGTGAGCGGTGGGCGGTGAGCGGTGGTCGGTGGTCGGTAGCCTAGGGCGGTTGGCGGGGAGTGGTGGTAGGTCCACCTCGCCTGCCTGGGGCGGCAGGCGGTGAACGGTGGTCGGTAGCCTAGGGCGGTTGGAGGGGTGTGGTGGTAGGTCCACTCCCCCTGCCCGGGGCGGTAGGCGGTGAGGGGTGGGAGATCTGATGCCCGGGGGGAGCCTGGTAATGGTGTGATGGGTAGGGATGTGGAGAGGAGGGGTGACAATGATGAGAGCCATGAGAGCCCGAGCTGTGCCCAGGGGAGGCTCTTAGGTAATCTGACATACCAGCCGGGGTAATGCTCACATTTCGGAAGGCGCATCCATTTCACAAAGTCGTCAAATTTGCATGCATTTTCGCGATATGTGCGACGGCCGACGCTTTCATGAATGTTTTATTTCGTGAAACCTTTCGAGCGGCTTTCTGTTTATCACTGGAGGGTAACATCTGCGCTGACACTTACACGACTCTTGCATTTACACTGGCACCAGTCTGGGACTGACAATGTCGCTTTGAGCATGCTGGGTGGGAAAAGAACTGCCACCGTCATTGTCACACGTTACCTGCACTGCAGCATCCGGACTTAATTCTCAATTTCAAATACCGCGCAGTGAGCACCTACTCAGCTCCAAACGGTTATATGACAGGGACATTCAGGCTGGTGTTAATGTCACAGCGGAAACTTGGCGAGGCTCTTTGCTGGACCTTGATCTTTAGCTGCTATACATTTGTCGACTAAGTCATGAATACATTAAATGCGATGACACTCTTCGGCGTTCACGTTTAAGCAGCACGCCATGTGGCATTGAAATGGAAAAACCTGTTCCTATTCATGTCTCCCTCGTTCATTCATATCTGCTGCCTCTGAGACTGAGACAGACCTGTCAATTATAGCATGGAGGCTAAAGTGAATTGAAAAGGGGCATTGTAACAAATTCCAAACCTATCTTTATGCACGGAAACCTTACAGAACACACTTGGATGCCGTTACACGAGTTTGCCTGTGAGCTGCGACACTGTGAGACCACTGTGAGAGCACTGTGAGAGCACTGTGAGACCGGAGTGAGAAGGTCGGTCTCTCCGCCACCACTGCCGCCGGTCTGGCGACCGAACCATTAGTGAAATTAAACCGCGGCCCAATGCGCGGTGGCCACTGATGTGGGGGCATCGCTCAGCGGCCAGCGGCGGCTGGCGGCGATCTGTCGCAGAGTGACCGGCGCACTCTGCCGGCAGACGAGGGCGACGCACTTTGTCCGCTGACGACACCAACTCGGCAGATCCTGCGGATTGCCGCCGGGTGTAAATTTGAATACCAAAGCGGTGTCGCAGACTGGGAAAGTTATCTCACCTTAACCAGGCTCAGTGCGCGAGGTCCTTGGGGAAGAGTTGAGGGGCATTTTCAAACATGACGGAAATGATGCGTCGTCGAGCTGTAGGTATTATAAGTCAATTAGCGGTCATCTTTCACCAATTTAATAAACAAGGTTTCATAATGGGTGAATCGAGCACCACGAGCATAATCGTACACATGGACAAAGTTGAAACGCACAAGTGAAGCTCAAACAAATGCCGTCAAGCTCAAACGAATTCCACCCGTTCCTGCTGGAGCGTTGCTCGGCCACTAATGTTCAGCGGCACAGCATAACCTTTCAGGCGATGACTACTAGCGCCATCTATGGACGATAATGCGAACCTACCGCTGCGCCCTGACTGAGAGCACAGTGCGCGGCCTTCTGCGTTGTGCTGACTGTAAAAAAGGCTTCCTTGATTTTAGCCACTTGATTTATTTGATTTGTTTTGCTAAGAAATGGATCGTCTCTGAATGGACAGTACGGATGAAATCAACATAAAAAGACGCGTTCCATGAAACGTTTATTCCACTCTCGCCACATGCTAGTATAATCTGTGAACAAACCGTACCCGACTGACTGCATCTCTGACCCTTATCCCTATTCTGTTTCAGGAGGAAGTCAGCCCTTATGTTTCTTGCCGTCCGTCTCGGCGCTGCTAGCAGTGTGCGCTGTATTTGTGCTCCGTTAATCGGACAGTTCCGTGCGGCACATGTCCTCGTTAATGTGGCAGTCCGCCGAGGTCAAAGTCGCGGGCTGCAGATCCTGAATGGAGCTCAATGCTTGATATTCTGGTCGTTTCTTGTGATAAGCCGAAGAGAAAAGAGTGTAACGCATGCGCTCAGTGTTCCAAGATGTGCAAATATACGTGTTTCTTATTTCTGCTTTGTGACAGCGTGGCACGGCGATCAGGGGCTTTGTCAAAACAGTTTAGACGCCGTTCTCTTAATACCGGCTAAGTCGCGCGCTCTCTCGACGCAGTTTCATTTCCCTGTTTACAAATGTGTCGCCCGCTTTCGGCAACTTCTCATTTAGGCAGCGCCTAAATTTCAGCCGCTCTAACGTAATTTCACGGCAATGCAATCCAGGGCCGGGAAACAAACAGGGACGGGAGGAGCCACGCGGATGCGGCTGAGGGGAGCGGAGCTGGCGTCTGGGCCGCCCACCTGACTCTCTCCCTCCTTTCTTCTCCCTCCTCTCCTCCTCTCCTCCTCTCTCCTCCTCTCCTCCTCTCTCCCCTCTCCAACTCGTCAGCGCATCAGGTGATTGTGTTTGGAGCGGACCAGATTGGAGACGCCGCACAGTGTGATACCTCGTCAGTGAACGGCGGGGACGGCGCCGAATGACGACCAGTCAGTGGCGAGTTGGGACGGTCATCTGGAGACCAGGCTCGTTAGAAGGCGGACGGACACACGACAAAACAAAGCAAAATCACGCGGAGTAACGAGGGCACGGTCACATGATGGGTGGTCTCAGGTGTTTAGCTGTCGGTCGTCGTCAGGGCTTCAGTCTTGACCCACATAACAAAGCCTTAGAAGTAACTAAATGACTGATATGTTTAAAGCACAGACGTGCAACGTGCTCGAAACATTTTTATGCGTAAATAGTTAGCTGGTGCCTCTAACAACACGTTCAAAATGTATTCACCATGGTGGGGGTATTTTATCACAACGACCTCTTTGAAAAGATACACGCGAGACACTGTTTACCTGCTTAGCTGACTACCGAAACATTCCCACCTCGATAACGTTTTCCAACCACCGGTAAAATATCACCCACTGGTTGTTGATTCAAAGTTCCTTCCCATTCAGCCGTCAATGTCACCCGACGCTGCTAATCTGAGCTACACTCCAAGTACGGCGCCAAGTTCCGCGTTAAATAACCCACCCATCAAGGCTCTGGCACCCCTCCCCTCAGGATGTGTGGGTTGGGGGTGGAGGGAACGGTGAGGGACAAATTCATCGCTGGAAGCACATCGCCCGCAGGCATGTTCAACGGCAAGCTCAACGGTAGATTCTATGAACACCCAAGATGGCAGGACACCGGAATACGCGGAGACTCGAGCAGCGATTTCAGAGAACTATTGGTGGAGGCCAACAGGGTTATGTTGCATACTGAACGATTGAGAGAGAGAGAGAGAGAGAGAGAGAGAGAGAGAGAGAGAGAGAGAGAGAGAGAGAGAGAGAGAGAGAGAGAGAGAGAGAGAGAGAGAGAGCGAGAGCGAGAGAGAGAGAGAAGTAGCGTCTTGTAGTTGCAAGTACACCCAGATATATTTTAAAATAAAAGGCTACATATCTGGAACGATTCATAACTAGAGGCTCGTTCAGAATGCCGAGTCATTTTTCTCCCGGTAGAACCCCTCAGGAGCGTCAACTCTCTGCCCAGTCTGCTCACGTCTCCGCCATTCCAGCGAATATTAGGGAAGCCGGTAAAATCGGATTATTCAGAAGCTAAGCAAGCAGCCCAAATGATGGTCTAATAGGAGTTGGATGGACTTGAGTTTCTTACCAGCAGTGCTTGTGTAAGCTACATACACTTTATGGCTGCCTAGATAGGTGTGTTGATCTGATTTTCTTTGGTGAAGTGATCAAATCTTTAAACGTAACGTCACTTATGTTTACGTCAACCGAAAGATTAGAAACGTAATAGAATCCAAAATAAATGTATCTAGCCTTGCATTGAATACTTCCGCAGAAGATAACTCGTATTTCAAAGCCGTATTTGGTAAGTACTAGGTACATACTTAAGTCTGCAGGTTGATCTGTAAAGACATCACTGCATATGCTCCAACTCTACAGTCGGAAAACATTTCATTTCAGGTGGTCGGTGAATATTCATCTTCCTTTCGTCTCGATCATTAATATTCATTGTGTTTGTGCGCAGATGGCCGAACGAAGACAGAGAGCGCTGTCCGCCTTTTGAAACGACTGGGTTATTCGCTACCTGCCGACATGGTATCTGATAACCATTGATCCTCATCTGATACGGGATAGCTCGCCCACGGTTGTGGGCTGATCGGTTTGAGATATTGGTTCTGCACGGCATCTTTATTTAGATTAATACAACGATTGTCCTCTCCGTGACCGAGTGGATAAAAGCGCCGGAATTCGACGCTTAGCCGGAAGTGAGAGCCCGGTTCAAGCCCCGGTGCGGGCGGCCACATTTAGCTCCTACGTGTAATGGCGTGCGTGTCTGTGGCAGGGGCCGCACAGAAGCCAGGTAACGTGAGTGAGCGGAGGGGACCGTGTCCAGTCGTGAGGGCACGTTAAACGTTCGGACAACTTTCTGCCATACAACTGGAATTGCGCGATCGGGTGGTGGGGTCAGGGTCAGCACAACAAGCTATGCTTAGTGCGGGCTCTGATTCCTCAAATCCACCCATTCAGCCATTCGGACTAAATTAAAAAAAAGAAGAATAAATTTCAACAGACCATGAAAATCAACGGGCAAAAAACACACACGCTGCAAACGGATGCCCAGAGAAAGCATGCAATCGCCACAACAATGCACATTGTGCTGAACTTACAGCCATCACTGGCGAGGGCCATGGGTTCGCTGTATAGCGAACGTTTACTTTAAAGGTCAGACCGAACAGTCGATTTAAAAGCAATTCCGGCTGGATTCCAAGTGAAGTATCATTTACGTTGACGATGCTATCATCTGAAATAGACGGAATACGTAGAGACGCACGCTTTCCGTTCAATAAAATCGCTCGTGTTTCATTGCCGGTTGCCATCGCATGGAAACGTCGGCGATCGGTGTGTATTTTGGTACAGGGTGTCCAGAAAAAACGGATACTATTATTTTTTGCTGTAATTCCGAAAATAAACACCTTACATTTTAAAATGGCACATGCTTGTATTCGCAAAAACATGGCAAAACAGACAGCAGGCGCCACATGGCATATTAACTCTTTGGTTAGTCGCGGCAGCTCCTCAAAGTAGATACTCAATGTGAGCGGCCTTCCAGCGGATCAGCTCCAGCACTAGCACAGTCTGCAGGTGACTGATGGTCATGTTGACCATCTCGGAGGGCAGACAGACAACTTTCCAACGACGCATTACAGTGCTCATGAGTTTTGCCAAATCTTGCACTATGAGCACACGAAGTTGGAACAAAATCGGCACGTGCGTTAATGAATGCGACTTAATTTTCGTAGTATCTTTTTTTTCTGGACACCCTGACAAATATAGACAGTATGGAGGCCAGCTGAAATGACTTTTCACCGATCCATCACGTGTTTCAGAGATACCTGTTACAGTTGGCAACGTATGAATGGCACAACGTGTAAAAAAATGCACAGCATGCCGTGGACAATCCATGCCTAATTTCCAAAAAAATGTACTTGAACCACATAACCAATTCCATTTATGACTTACTATTGCCCATCATTGCTTTAGAGGCTGGCTTATGTTTTTTTTTCAAAGGCCGCGTGATTATGCTATAAGCATTACATGCCTTCACTGGGAAAATTATCTGTAATGGGCCTTATGCCCAAATGGCTCTAAAAATCGCATGTTAACTTCTACCCCTGTTTTGAAGAAGACATTCAAAGTGCAAAAAGCCTTTCCTGAAAGTTAAACACCGCGACACATTCATTTCAGCAGCAGGAAGCATCTCCCTTAGTAAGTCCCATTGAGCGCGGTCACAGTCCTAAATCCGGCAACTTTCAAAGCCGCACCGTTGCCGGTATTCTGGTGCAGCTCCAGTGCAGAGATCAAAGCCCCTCTGCTGCGCTGAGTATGACTCTTAGTGCCAGCAGCGACGGACGCCTATATCAGCTTCGTGTGGAGCCGGAGATTCTGACCGGGGATCAGGTGAGCGCGATATCATGGAAACGTTTTCGCTGTATGCTTCTATGCAATACAAATATACGTCTTGTCTCATATGCGTACCCGTAGCAAAAACTGAGGAGCTTCGCCAAAAGAGACCTTCAAGCAAGCGTTGATTGCCTAGAGACTAAAAGATTTATTGCCCAGAGGCTGAACGATTTATCGGATGTGCGAATGAAGGCTTCATATTTTGTTGTTTGATGTTCCTTCTTTTTCTCTGAACCTACCCCACTCTTGCCCACTTTTATTTAACTTAGTCCAAGTTTGTAACTGATTTTGAAACTTGTGTCAGCCATCAGAACCAGAAAACTACTTCTTCCATTTCTCCTTCGGCTACCTCGTCTGAGGTTGACTTAGTCGAACGATGCTGCAAAATCAACATTGCTAGGATGTTTTTCGCCAGAGTTTCGGCCAAGTTTCGGTCAGTCGCCATTCGGGGGGTATTGCGAGTGTCGAACCCAGATATCGTTCGACGAGGAAAAACAGAAATCTGCCACGGACAACCGTTCTGCGAAAGCCGATGCGCGGCCTCGTCTGAAGCGAGACGCTCCGGAGGAGTTTCACAATCACTGCTGTCCTCTCTGCTCGGCGGCAGGGTGGGCTGAACGGGCGTTCGATCAGCTCTTCCATTAGGAAAGTGTTGGCTTTATTGTCTTCGTCAAAATATTCCAAGACGTTTCAAGCCAGAATGTTCGTTGGAATTGTGTTAAGCTACTTTTTGTTACCATGATGTTTCAGATGTTCAACCTGCGGATACTTACATGAACAATGAACAATCTACATGCCTTCAACTCCTGTATCGCTCAAAGGTCTCTCAGGTTTCAAATCTGGACAGGCCAGTCTACGTATCCGAATCTCCCCCTCCCCTAGGCCCCCCAAAGACATCGCGTCGCCGCCGACGGCTACCGGCAGGGCGGCGTCGCTCGTCGCATACATTATCGTACGGACTGTCACATGAGCGCCATAATTCGACTCAGCTGCGCCACTGCCGGCCGCGCTGACGGATTTAAAGGGACCATCCCACCTTAACATTAGTTTTGAGTTGAGA